GGTCCATGACCACTAAAGAAACTCGAAAAAATTTTTTTCGCTGAAACCTCTTAAACAGGGGTAATCAATGGCCCTGATCACGATTCTGACAATTATTTATGGCGCCGACGTGATCTGGCAATAAGGGCGAATGAGATGATAAAACTTGCGTATTTTGAGCGATTTGTTTTTATTCCTTTTTTGACATTCCCAATAGCGTTTAGCAAAAATGAAACCCATCTGTGTGGTCCTTGTATGGACCCCTACAACATGCAACAAATCGTTTTGAAAAAGCTCACCACGGCCTGAACGACCTCCCTTGTTAGCAAAGCGCACTTGACGTACGTCCGGCGTCGACGTACGACATGGTAGTCGTACGTCGACGCCGGCGCCAAAAATAAATGTTATATTCGCAGTCAGGATGTCAAATAATCCCCGCATACAAGTTTCCATCGATTTTTCGATTTAGCTCACCACGGATTTAGGGCATTTTGGCCCCGGCGCCTGTGGCGCGGCGCCAAAATACCCTAAATCACCAAAATCGATTGAAAGTTTTCGGGCAAAGCGGATGTGATATTCGTGTTCAGGAGGTACCACTGTAACAAATTTCCATCCAAATCTGCCCCTCTAGAAAAAAAATCGATAAAAAGCGGCCTGATTTCGGCAGACTGGGTAGGAATAGTTCGATAGTGCCAAAAACTACAACACAAGCTAGAAAACTACTAAGAAACAAAAAAACTAAAAAACACTACCAAACAAACGACGAGAAAAAATAACTCACCAGAAATACTAGAAGCCAGAACTATGGATTAGCTTTTGAATATTAGTTGTTCGCGGTCATTCAGAGGTGAGCGCGCTAATACAAAGGGATTGGAGCGAGCTATTTCACGACCCGGAGCCAGTTTCAAGCCAAACACTCGAAAAGTACCCCTCACTTGAACACCCATAACTTCTTTGAGAGTAAAGCTTTCGGAGAGGGGAAGCAGGAATGAGGGGAACTACGTTGGCACTTGTTACCTGATTTTGAGCGATTTAAAAAATATCTTTGTAGGAAAGTTTCTCCGTTGTGATCCTGTTCTGCTCATGGGGGTCTACCACAAGTAGCTACGCTTTGACAGCCATGGCAAGCTTCATACAGGGCCTTTCGTAAAAAGAAAAACAGTGCCAGAATTACGAAGCTTCTACTTTCCAGCAAGGCTTTCATTTTATCCCTATGCCTGCTATTCGGGAAAATTCCCCTTAAAGACTTTGGTACTTCTAAAACGCTTGTTTTCGCCAGGGATATCAGGAAATAGTTCACTGGGCGCCAATTGGCATCACCTCTGCAATGCGCCATGCATAGCGCTTTCACGCAGAGCTATTGGGGAGGTGCAACTTCTCAGAAAGGGCTTCCTCCGTGCAAGTAGATGTGCTTCTACTGTCCTCATCATTACGGACTGTCGGGGCGTGTCAGCCAGTAGGAGTGCGCACACTGTTGAAGCCGTTCTCAGCCTTTTTGTTGAAACGCGTATGCGACAAAAAGTGGTAGAAAACGAGTAATACGAAGGATATAATACAGTAATGTCACTTGCCCGCTTCAACAATTGGTGCAGAACGACTTCGGTACCGCGCCAAACGCAGCCGCACTGACACGCCCCGACAGTCCGTAATGATGAGGATTGTACGTTAGAAAATTCCGAAAATGTGTTTTCATCTGTTTATTAATTCATGACGTCGTTGTGGGCGGCCATCGTATTTCCTGTCATCGCCCGTTCCCACTTCTGCGCTGGCAGGTTGCTTCTGTCTTGTGTGTGTCTCTTCAGGGGTTCTTCACATGGATAAGTCTTTCATCATTGAAGCTGAACGACATCTGGGTATCGCTGCACCCTCACTTCAGAAAGGGCCCGCGCTTACGACTCTCCTCCTCCCTCGAGGTCAAATACGACTCCCTCCCCGTTGTGGTCATCACAACGATGACGTGCCCTGGTATGTACACCCTCTTTCTATGGAGGATCGTATCGAGCAGTTTTCCTTGACGTGATACCTGAACCTTATACTCACGATCCTGGCGGAATCGTCGCGTGGTGGAAGTCAAACCAAGCTAAAACTACCTTGAACTAGTTTCAAAACTTTTAGGCCAAGGGTACTTATTGAGTTTCGGTAGAAATGTGTTGATTCTTCCCTCGATTGCTTCTGTAAAGCGGTGATGTACTCTGTGTGTAGCAGTGTCGACTTTCTAGTTAATAGTGATTCCTGCTGAGAAATGGAATAGAAACAGACCGGTCCTGAGCCACTGTTAGATCTGGTCCATGGAGCTTGGCTTAGATTAGGGGATCAAACAAAGAGTCCTCCATCATGCCCAGCATTCGTAATTTCTCTCCTTTTTATAGGCTTGCTCGGGTGTTGATGTTGCGCTTGCTGTACAGACGAACTTAGGAATTGAACAAACAATGAATTCTTCCCATGTGCCTCACTATACCCTCCTCCGTGTCCATGCTACACCATTTCCAGTGTTTTACGAGAGTCCCAGAAAGAACCCGTTCGCCTGGATCAAAAACATTTCCTTTGATAATCGGTCAACGGTCATTGTTAACGAATCGCATTTCCATACTTTTGTGTACATCAGCGTGTTTATGCTCACGTATAATATTTGATAGATTGCATTGTAGACCTGCCAAGAAGGGTTTTGGGTTCACAACGTCGTCGAATAAAACCTCGAAGAGTTTCACTAAACCGGAATACACGAAAAAAACCTACTCAATGGAACTCAAGAATCCGATAATATTAAACGAAGAACTGCGGAATTTACGAGTGGGATTAGACAGGCAAGGATTAGAAGGAATTGGCGAATCTAAACGAAGAACCGAAGAATTGCAGAAGTGAAAAGTTGAAGAATCGACAAAAAACTAGATACAAGTCGAGCTACTTCTGCACTCAGTCAATTCGTCATTTGTGCAGTTCTTCGGATCTACACGTGTCTGTAACTTCCGTCAATTCTTCATTGGCGTTTTCTTTGAGGAGCATTTTCTACTTCAGAACGGGGCTTTTCTTTTTCCCTAGTATAACAACGTAAGCCTTTTAGCAGAAATAGCAGACTCCAACTTTTGCTGCGACCACTGAGTTATTGCTCACATCTATGTAGGTGTTTGGCAAGTTTCTTTGAAGACCTTTTGGAATGTGCCGCATGAACAACGTACTGTGGTAACTGAAGCAATTGGTTCTCTTTGAGATTCCTCAGCCACCGCACTGCGGCTTGCTTATTTTTTGCTTTCTAAGAGTGCTTCAGCAACTGTTTTCGCGGCGACGTCTGAATCAGACAAAAAGACAGCAATAAACTTGTAGAGAGCGCCCACAAAAGCAAGAGCTTGACGGCATGTGCTGCGTCAACGCCTTACTTCGCTGATTGGCTTGTTTGCATTGGAGGAGAGAGAGAGAGCAGACCTAGGGAAGGATCTCAGCGCTCTCAAATTGCGGAATATGTTGCGAATTTCCGCTTGCGGTATATACCGATATGTCGCTCTGTTAGGAGAAAAGCCTGTTCCATTGCTTGGATACGACCGACCGTTGAGGTGCAGATGAACGCACCACCGAACGTATTATCCAAAAACGAGAGTTGTACTGAACTCTGCCGCGCTGTTGACAATGCCGACGAGACCAATGAAGGTGAGCGTTTCGCTGAATTGCTGGGAATTATTATTCCACTGCAACGCTACAGTAGGCGTGCTCGTTACTACTAGTCCAAAATCTCATTGCCAAACCCACCGGAACTACAGCTAGGTGCTGCAAAGGCAGAGCTGCAGTCCCGAAACGATTTTGCTGCAGTGCCCAGTGATTTGAAATTCTGTGTAACCTCGCTAAATCGATTGCAACCTACATTGGACATCTTCTTCCGGTTCATTCCTAATACTCTCATTGCTTTTTTCTTCATTGTCCCTTTTGTTTCGTGAACTGTTGTAATTATTCTTACAGTCGATTTAGCCGGGCTCCAAAGGAATCGATATTGACTCCTCCGAAACCCAGCTGAATTGATAATGGAGAGCATTCAAAGGAGCTCTGTGGTTTTTGACGTATTGTAGAGAGAAGATTGGACTGGAGGTATACTACCCACCCTAGGTGTTCGAAAAAAACGAAAAAAACGCCGATTCGAGTTTCTCTGGTTTTTTTTTGCTATTCCTCAATTTCTGTCCACTTTGCTCATAGGGACTTTTATATCATTATATTCCGCTTGTCGAGAACTATACGATGGTGCTTCTGAAATCCATGAAATCCTAATTTTCATGTCTTCATCCCAACAGCGTACCTGAGGGGACTCGTAATCTTGGAATTTGACCATTTAATGGTAGAATGTGTTACTTCCACAGGTCAGAGATGATTGGAAAGCAGATAACTATATCGCCCAGACGGTGCACATTATTTTAGTACCAATCTCTTAGAAAATGGAAGTTTTTAGAGTTATCATTTTTGGGGGAATTTTCCAAATCCTGTTTCTTCGCAGGTTTCTTGCTCAATTCGAGAAATAGCAAATGTGAGTTAAAGACACATGGTACGCTCAAACACATTGAGGGTGTATGAGACTATCAGCCCCCCAGCTGTCGATGTGTCGTGGTCCCCCGCCCAAAACTGCACGGGGTCAGAGTACGGGGCCGTGGGAAAGTCGTAATTCCTTGCTACACCGCCCATTTCGCAAACTCTAACACCGTCCGCGCGGCGCGTGTCGCGTGCAGCTCTCTTGGCTTTTAGAAGAACTTAAATGTCAAACGTACATTTCACATCAGCGAGGGGCGAGCGGTCGCGTCGCGGTCATTGCGCTGGAGCGCTTTGAATGTGGCGGGAGAAGCTAGGTGCTCCTTCACTTTGCAGATATCTTTTACCTTGTGAATAGGATTTGTGCCTGGCTTTCTCGCCTTTACATGTGACGAAAACTCGTTCCAGTTTTTTCTATGCTGTTGCTGATCATGACTTCTCCTCGTTAGATTTATCGAGAATTAGATTATCACTTTTGCACTATTGCTGACTATTGCAATGGCTTCGATTCTCAGAACATGGAGTCTTTGTCCTGTTCGATTTGTGGGAAATTTATGTCAGCTTTCGATAATTATGTGAGACACTTGCGTCGTAATCACGGAGATATCGGAGCCCAAACAGCATCGGCCCTAGTGAAAGAGACAAAGGAAGCAAGAATGGCATTGAAGCAGTACCAGTGCGATTTGTGTAACTTCAGGGGCTCGTCAAAAGATGCCGTGAGAATGCATAAAGCTAGGTCTGTGGCATAACCTTAGAGATAATATACTAACATTGTGAAGCGATGTTTTTAAGGAATCATAGGCAGGCTCTCGCTCCACTTACAAATTTAAACGCAGATGCAACCAGCCAGAAGCAGGGTTTGGCATGCCCCCGATGCCTCGCAAATACTCGCGATACAAGAAGCCTCATCGAACATGCTCGTTTGGAGCATGAGTTTCAAGGCGACATTGTGACCCGAGTGTTCGATAACCATGCAGACTTCAAGGTGAGCATTAAGTAATGTAAGGGTGAAATAATCTGAAAGGCGGATTAAACCAGCTGTTTAGGTTTGGAAAGAGATGCACGAGCGCCTCACTGTCACATCGTGGTCATGTTACGCTACCCTCCCAAAAAATGGCTCTAAGACCAAATATTACAAGTGCTTCCGGTAGCCAATCCAACCTTGACGAACTTACATTAAGTATCGAAAGGCTAAGCTAATAATATGTTCACGAGCGCTGTTTGTTCGACGGGTGGACATTCTGCTTTTCATGGATTTGCCGACCCATCTAAACCGGAACCAGGGAAGCAATCATAATACAAGATGCTCCCCCTCCGTCGATAAACAGCGCCATGTTCACGTGTAGTTGTCATCTATCGTTTTGTGCACAACTTCTAGATCACGCAAGAGAAAGGCCGCGAAAGCCACAAAGAGAAGAGGCCACTCTAAAGCAATTCAGACGGCATGCACAGCATTTTTGAAAGTGACTTTTAAGTTGGCAAAGTTCAGACAAGCTGTACATTAGCATGAGAATTCCAAAATAATTTCAGACAGTTGAAAATGAAGCTGTTGGGACAATCGAAGTTGAGTATTGTGACAAGCACCTTGGACATACTATTAGTGGTGCTCTACTACCCTTGTCTAATAGCGATCGGAGAGAAATCAGTCAGCTGCTCAGGAAAAGTTCTCTGTCCCTAGTGTCACAAGAGCCATTCGTATGGACCACTCCTCACCATATGAACGCCTATACTGGGTCACATCCACGGACGTTAGAAACGTATTAGCGACTATGGAACTAGAAAGAGGAAAGTTCCATGATAACGATCTTCGCTCAATTGCGATACGTTTCATGAATAATAACCCGGAGGACGGGCTTCGTCTTTTTCAAGAGCCCACAAGTCCAGATGGCTCAGGATTTTGCTTGATCGTCATAACGCCACTGCAGCTGACAATCCTGAAAAAATATGGAACCAGTGGGCTCAGGCTGGATGGCACCCACAACCCTTGTCGCTATAACCTCAAGTTGTTAACCATGATGATAGTCGATAGCGTCGGCAGAGGAGTACCTGTTGGCGTACCAGTGATAACGCCAAACGATGAGATAAAGACACAGTCAGCAAGTTCTTCAGCGTTGTTAAAAACCTCTATCCAGACTTTAGTCCCGAATACTTCATGACAGACAACTGTAACACATTCTGGAATGCATTCGTTGAAACATTTTCGCGAAGCATCTCGGGTGACAAAGCCGTCTGTTCCTGTGCTCATGGCACATACAATGCGCAGTATTTGATAAGTTCGCCTGGTTGTTCCTCCGAGAAATAAGGAACTGCACGCTACTCTGCTTTCTCTTTTTACTGTGCCAAACAAACCGGAGTGGCATCGATGTCTTTCATATTCATACAAGAGGCTTCGCGGTTGAGTAATGCTAAGAATCTTAATGGAAGCTGCCTTACAATCTGTAACAGTATTCTTTCGTCGAACTACATCCCAAAAAAGATGCACGGATGCGCAGATGTTCGAGTATTATGAACACAAAACTGTTCATCCGCCAGCGTTTCCATCGACACTTCAAATATACGCTACTTGAAGCGAATCGTCAAATTCACCCTAGAGCGTCTTTACAAGCACTCTGCTGCGAACATTGTGTCGGACACCAGTCAGAAGCCATGAAGATACCTGGTCATGCCGGCATGCTTTGAATGAGAATACATAATCTTATTTTATTATTTATCTATTCATAAATTATATAGACGCATGGTTTGGCACCAGCCCTCTACTACGACTTGACAACCGAACTAACCTTAGCTGGCACTTCTTCCACTTTTCGAAATTTCATATGTGCATTTTTGTATTACGCTGCAGCTCGCTCTGCGGAAGTTCTTAAATATTTGTGGTGGCTAACAATGGCGTCAAGAGGAAATTTTAAAAGCAGTCTTCTTAGTTTTGCTGTCTAAAATGTGGAGTATTTCTTATAAACAACGTCTTTAGGACACCAGAGATCTTATAGAAGGCAAATTCCGCCAGAAGGAGAGCTTAAAAAGGCAGATTGGCAGTTGAATACGGAATGTTACACGAGTTGTTCGAACTGGAAAATCATCTTGGAAAGTAAAGTCAACAAGTGGTCGAATATACTCCATTAAAACCACTTCCTGCCCTTGTAAAACTGGTTGTGAGCAACACTGCCTGCTCTGCGGCGTTGTCCTTTCGCAGTATTCTGCTCTTGTGCAGATAATATAAAAGCAGGAACTTCCTGCAAGCATTCACACTCATTCCAACTGCTCCACGATGGTGAGTTTGACGTTACCCCGCTCTTTCTTAGCTCTTTTTGCAGAGCATGACATTATTACTGATTGCTGGGACCGTGTCGACGATGAACCCTGTTTCGACGATGACCTTGACGCAGCATTAGCAGAAAACTCAAGTGATTCCGACCTGAATAATAACCAAGTGGACAGGGTGGAAGCAAACAGCGCTGAGCCAGGCAATCGCAGAGAAATTTGTATGGGTATCAGAACTCGGACTGAAAGGGTATTCACACATAATCACCTTTGCCATGAGAGCATACTCTATTCTTAAGATGTTCGACTT